CCAAGAAGGAGCTTTGGTCACAGCATGCCTATAGAGATGTATAGGAAGAGCATGTGACAAAAGGCATGACCCAATAAACATTTGGAGAGTTTATTTTCTAGAAGAACTGAAGAGGATATTTTAACTCTTATTAGTTATGCCAGGCTCAAAGGACACTAGGCATAGTGTAAAGAAACAAAACCCACCAAACCATACCACCTTAGAGAGATCCAATATCTGATCCAACTTCCACTGAAGTCTGTAGGGTTTTTCCCTGCAAAACATACAGCCATCCTCAGCTACACTGTCTTCCTCCACATCTTTTCTCAATACTGATTTTAATATATTGAAAAAACAAAACAAACCCCAAAAGCCATAAACAATCCCAAGCCCCACAACCAACATGACTGCTTCAAGTTTTCATTATTTTGTTACTCAGATTCATGATAGCTGAACTATTCTCAGTCCAACAGTTGCTGGGACTAATATATTGCACACACAAAAAAAGATCTAGCTAAATTATAAAGCAAATTTGTACCAAAATTACAATTATAAAGCAAATTCCCAGAGAAAAAGTTTACAGTGTGATCTATCTCACCCTCAAGAGTCAGAAACCAAAAGATTTATATTAAAAAAATGCAGCATCATTTAACTGGGTTTGAAAAGTGATTCTTCTTGAACCTATCTCCATGTCTTGAGCCCAAAGTATGGTAGCTAAATATTTATTTTGTAATTAGCACAAGAGAGCTTGAAGGCTTATCAGATATGAATCTGATATGAATAATGTGAATGCTTTTATTTATTAAAACTCACCAGAATCTTAAGTTTTCAGACTTGGGTGGGTCACAATACTCTACCTGGGACTGCAAACAGGGTAATAACCTCCCCATTCTCTGGTAAAGAAACTGGAAAGGATTCCTGTCGTTTTCTTTTTGCAGCCAAGGGTATCACACGAAGAGATCGAGGAATACTGGATTGTAAATACAAATGAGTATATACCTAATAGTAAATTCACCAGAGCTATAGTTTCCTCTCTAACACCTTCTGCATTCTGTTACTTATTCTTCATCCCTAACTTTACAAATGTTTATCAGTGGGTAACTTAATGCAAGAAGATTCTTGATGTACAAGAGTAATTTATCTATACAAAGACTGTAGGAGCAGAGCCTTAGGCAACAGACTGCATGGCAAAGACCATTTCTTCCTTTGAAAGTGTACAGCACCTGGAACAGGGACCTAAATCTCCTACTCTTACTGCTATAAAAATGTTGTCAGATAACATGCATTAGCCATTTTCCAACATTCTCCAACAGAAATCAAATAGTAGGATGAACAACTGAACTAAGATGTTGCCATAAAAGGAAGACAGTTGAATGAAGGCAGTTGTGCAGTAGCAATTACATGATTAAGTATTTCTAACATCACTAACCATCACTTTCTTAGAGAAAACTATATTGAATAAAAAAACCTAAGACCCACATAATCAGACTGTGCATCACAAAACCTGACAAAACATACAGAACTTGTATATATTGCCTCAAGACGCTACAGTTAGCTGCAGTGGTTCTTTCCCACTAGTTTCTCTGTTATTGGCAAGACTCTCCTTCACAAAGTGTTTTCACACATGAAATGGACTTGAACCTGATTTCTAGCCCCATTTCTCTGACAACCAAATTATGGCTCAGATTGCTGTGTAGGCTTGGGATATGTAACATTCTACTGCCATGTTCAGAGTCATCACCCAACTTTCTCGGGTTTTCCTTCATTCTAGCAAGTCGATCCATCCTGAATCCACTGCTGACCATCACTGGCTCTTTGCTTGAACAAATGCAGGGGCTTCATCCTTACTACAGAATGTCTTCACGTAGGCTGGCACAGAGTTCTTGTGCACACCAAGAGACAAAATTACCATCTACCACAGGAGCTGAGCTGTGGCCAGCAAAGGGTCATTTTAGTTTCAATCTCTGCTTGCTCTTCCTGCATGCTTTACCACAAATGGAGTGACTAGTATGCAGCCCAACACCCTTACGCAGCAAGCTGTTGTCTCCTGCATGCTAACACGCTCATATTCACCATACTGACTTTTGGGGACTCCACATTTTTCTAGCAAGGAATCTGCTCCATCTGAAAAAAAAAGCATCACTGCCAACAGCAGCACTACACTGACATAAGAACAGCAGCTCCGCATTAGTTCAAGCAGCGTGCAGCTTAAGGTGATTACCCTTCTCCCACTATTTTCCAAATGTTTTTTCAGCTTGATATTTCCCCATATCTGCTATTCCAAAAAATAGGATGCCCAGCCTTCTGCAAGACAGCAGCCCTGTTGAATTCCACAAGCCAACATTGCCAGGCTGTAAAACTCACCTCGTTTGCCAGCCCGTGCAAACCCTTGCATTGAAATCACCTCTAGAAAGGCCATTGTGCAGACACATAACCCAAATACAGGGCTGTCAGCAACATGGAAAGTCTTGAGAAACCTATTTGATCATGAGGAATTTCAAGCACTGAGTAAAACGCTGATATTTCTGATAAATACCATAGAGGCTTCATTTAGATTTTTTTTTTTTTTTTAAAAAGTGCAGTCCTGAGTTGCATCTGTATCCTGAAATATTTCATAGTCTTTTTTTATCTTGGCTTTGCCATACTGTCCATAATGATACCACAACTCCTTATGTAATCTCTGTTCAACAATTGAAACCTGTTGAAGAATTTTTTTTAAAAAGTTCCTACTGAGAGTGCATATCACAAGAATTTTTTAAAATAGAAATCTAAGTTGAATGAACTGTGCCTGTTTGCTATATGAATTGATGTTGAATACAAAACCAAAAGGAAGACATCACCCCATCATCAGAGGGGATTCTAGGTCTAAAATTCAACTAAAGCTAAAAGAAAAGCAGCATATGGAAAATGACATACAGGTGTACTGCTCTCTCTGAGTTGTAGCCTTATAAGGAAGATTATCTGAGAACATACATATTGTTTGGCATATTTATTATATCACGGTGTTCCTCCACAAAGTCATATATTTCAAACCAATTAATTAAAGCAGAGTTGAGTGCCATCTCTCACAGTACTTGAAAGTTAAAGGTGGCCAGTATTCATGGCCTTCCACATAGATCCTCTATGCTAAAGAGATGGAGGAGACAATCCTCTTTGCAGATTGATTCATGCTGACTGTACGGGCTTCCATATGACTATACACGTGTGTGGGTTATACTGGAGACAGCATAAACTGGGAGGCGCATCATCTGTCGCACTCTTCCCCCTCAGCTGAAAAGGTCTCTCTCCTGGGCAGCTCTAGTAGACAGGAGTTTGGCAGCTCTACCATGGTGAGATGGCACAGCTGCGAGCCACAGTGCAGCCACTGAGAGCTACCTGCCCCTAGAAGTTCCCCCATGACCTTCACAAATGTCTCACTTCCTTGCATTCCTCATTCCCAAAAGTTCACTTAGGGACAGACAGAAGAATGGAGGAAAATAATTTTTCTTCCATTAGGTGGCACCATCCCTGTCACCTGTTAATTTTCTGTTAAGTTGTATCTTTCCAAGTTTAGCTCCCAGCTATTTTAAGAAAATAATACCAGACAGTTACCAAAAAAAGGATAAAGAGAGGTCCTCTAGCTTGACTTGTCTAATGGTGTTTTCTGAAGAATTATGACTGACTTTGCATCTTTCATAATCCAAATGACTTTTAATGCACTAACCTCCAGGACACATTTATTTGTTAAGACCCTGTGAGCAGCAGTATTACATGAAGGCTGTGCTATCCTGTATTTTGCTAGGTGGCGTTGTGATGGCGAGCTTAACAATCAGGTGCCTAAAGCCTGTTTTTCAGTACCCCTTTCAATTATAATAACAATAAATACATTAATAGGCATTATAAACATTTCTCGTCTTCCACTGTCACGCAACATCCTAGCAGGGCACAGTGCTTTAGTGAGGAATAGCTAGGTAGGTGGAAATGGCAGGTGGAATTTAGGTCAGAGAAGTCAATTACCTGATCTGAAATTTGGCCAGAATACCAGAGTTAACACCTGTAAACTTATGAAAGTGGTGTGCGGTCTTTATTGACCTCAGGTAGTCAGGACCTCTTCTTTATGTTTCAGACAGTTTCTCTGAAGTTCCTTGCTCTTTGGTGGCACAGTAGGGTATGGCTCTGCAGTGACTTACAGCACCAGCTTAAACATCAACCACCACCTTTGAGGTCTCAGCCCCAGTGCAACTGTAGTCTGGCCATGCACAGCAAGAAGAGCTACACCTGCAGGAACTGGTTTACTCAGAGCAAGCTGTTGTGTAGTTGACAGAGCGTATTCAGAGAGGGCTCGTCTCTGCATTGTGCAATTGCAGCAGGGAGCATGCATGCATTTTTCTAACCGAGTGCAACAATCAAAACATCAATACATTCTGTTCTCATTTCTGTGCTGAAAGTAGAGCAGTTTCCAGAACCAATACCTTATGCCTGGAAAGAATAAAAAAGTAAGCAAAGGGCTTATGTCGCTTTTTTTTTTTCTTTTGTGTGTGTAGCGGGGGGGATTTTAAGCCTAAGGTAAGTTGAGTTGCATTGAAAAAGACTGATCGATTAACTACTGAAAAAGCCCAAATCCCACTGTGGTCACAACTGACAGCTTGATTAGTGTCTCTTTTTCAAGGTTTTGAAAAGTACTTTCGCAGGGTGTGGGGGAGAAACATAAATTATTAAGATGACACCTACAGTTCTCATTAATTCCCAGTCAAAGAAACGTCAAAAACTTAAAAAATACTGTACTTGCTCTCCAAAATGTAAACAAACTCCACAGGACTGTGGTGCTCTTAAGTCAGGGAATAATCATGTATCAGTGTCTGGGTGGACGGAGCAGCACTGTGCTTCCCAGCAAGAGGGCTGCTGCCACAGCGCAGCCTGACCTGCCTCACTTCACCTCCCACAGGTCCGCAGTGCTCTCGGAACTGGAGGTGGCCTCTCGTGCCCGCCCCTTCCTCACTCACACGCACAGACTCGCCACTCGCAGCGTGCGCCCCACTCACCATGGAATTCATGGCAAAGTGATTGTGCTGCGTCTGCAGGTCAAGGGCATGTTGGTAGCTCACGCCGATCTCCGTGTGGCTCTGCAGGAACAATTCTTTGTTGTGGCTGATCCAGTCGAACATCTAGAAGTATTCACAAAGACAAATAAAAAAGTATCAGGCAGGGATGAAAAAAATAATAGATGGTGCAAAATATAAAAATCCACAGTTTCAAGAGAGATACATATGCAACAGACAAAAAAACTCATCTGTGATCCTCATCTAAAGAAGATGTTGTTGAGCAATGGAAGCATTTAAGTTATCACCATACTCCATTATTAACAGAATGACAGGTCAGGAAACATAATTCGTAAAGTATGTTCCTCGGAAAGCTCATCTCATAGCCTTTTCCTATAAGTAATGGGAATTTCATATATAGAAAGATGGCAGCAGAGAGATCTAAAAGCAGGGGTTGCTTCACGGATCAAAGATCTAGCAGTTCATAAAGAACCCGTAATCCAGAAATGGACTCAAAATTCCATAAATATTATTGATGAGACTTTCTCATCCCCTTCTCTTTCTAGCATATACGTGAAGTTTCCAAAAGTTACATCCAAATAGCCAGTTGACTTCCTATACTTATATTTCCTGGATCTTTCCAATTCCAAAGCCAAAACCCAGTCTATCTTCCACTTATTATTTTTGGGATGAAGAGAGAAAAAGCAAAAAAGTACTGTATGAATATCTATAAAGAGTCCAATTTCAACTTCTCCCACTTCCAAATGCATTTCCAAGCAGAATGGATAGTTCAGTACTTCAGACACAGACAGAAACATGTTGCACAAAGCTGATGAAACTCATTCCTTAATTTGCAGCATGTTCATGCGATGCTCCAATCTGCAGCACCTTCATTCATTATAAGCCATCACAAGTCAGGTAGGAGACACTGTGTTTATGTTTTGGCTTGTTCTGTGTTGTGGTAGAGACTAAATGCTTTCAAAGTGAGAACTTTTCATTCTTTACTCCTGTCTACAGCTCTGCAGGCATTAGAATCTCAGACTTCTTTTATGCAAACATTTTTGCTACGGAATCCCTTCAAACCATGTTCCCTTCATCCCAGCAAGTTGAGGAATTGTCCATTAGTAAGGACTCTTTCATAACAAAAAACTCCGACTTATTAATTCATTATTAGGAAAGAAAATACAACGATAATAATTACAGAGGCAGTGGAGGTCAGGTCAATACAGTCCCTGGTAAGTGACTGTAAGGCACATTATGCAGCTTCTAAGCAACCACCTTACAGTCAAAGGATCAGTCCAGATCTTTGTTATACCGTTTACCTACCCACCAGCCAACAGCCGTTTTGTTCTTTAGTACTGAGTAGCAATTTTTGACCTGTGACAGCTGAAGAACACTCAGAACCCACCACTCAGGCCCTATACGTTTCTCAGGGTCAGTTACCCCTTCCTTCCCTGTAGAGGTGGTACTTGTTAGAGTAGAGGGAAGGTCCTGTATGGGTCACCTAAGAATCCTGCAATAAACTGAGCATTTTGTGCTGAGCACTCAATTTGGCAGGAGAGTGCACTGCTTTACGCAGGGGATTTGCAGAAATAATATTGACTATCCCTTTTATCAAAAGGCAAATAAACATTGCAAGTGCTCCAATGCCACCAGACACACTGCACTGATCTGGTCTCACAAATCTGTCACATATGCCTGACTTCTTCATCTTTTATTTATGAAAATACACTTTCAACTACAGAGTCTATACTAGCTTGTATTTTGTGTTGATGAGTAGTCTTAAAGGCCGAATTTGGTTCAAGTTACAATGATGCAAGTCCAAGCTAATATATCTGACACAGCTATTTTCTCACTTGTACCCATGGAGCTGATCAAAATCAGGTGTATAATCATCTTTTTAAAAAGTATAAATAACAAGATTTTTGCAAGGATGAAATCAGAGGTTTCAAAGATTAGTGCCAATTAAACAGAATGAAACAACCTACCACAACCTGAAGAGACATCTAAGGCTTTCTCATTGTATTCCTTTTTCTCACTTTCAGATTTAATAAGCAATATAAGCACAAAACAATTTGCCACATTTCTGGGCTTAAAGAAAAAAAAAAAAAAGCCATAAAGCCAATAAAGAAAAAAAATTCCATAACAGCAGAGTTCATGTCCCAACAACATCTCTGCTGAGAAACCGACGCAGACTTCTTGTAAGTAGATACATGTTTGATGTGAACATTTTTTAATGTTTTAAACAATCTAAAGGCATTTAGGGAGAAGAAAACTGGCAGCAATCCACTAAAAATAAACAGTAAATCTAATATTTTATGCTTAGCAAAGCCGAATCAGGATCTTTTTAAGATAAGTAATTTAAACTAGTAATCTATTATTCTGTGGACAGGGAGCATTTCCTCCATCCAATCTCTACGCATATTATTGGATGAGAATCTAGGTTAAGTTAAACCATGCTTCTGCCTTTTAAAATACAACAATAAACTATCAAGGAAAAAAAAAAGAAATTTAAAAGATGATTAATTTTTTTGTCTGGTTTAATCAATTGAAATATATAACAGCAGCTGAAAGGATGACCTTCAGGAATTTTGAGCAAAACTAAGCAACAGACCTCAATGATCAGATCTGCACCACCTTCCAAAACACTATGGTTTGTAAACTTCTAGTCATGGACAACAGCAGATTTTGGAAGAGACTCAATTCCAATTTAGACTTCAAATCTTTCTATTATATTCTTCATTAAAAATTGCTTTGGTTTCAGCTGGTTTATGCCTGTAGCAAATTATCCCCCATCAATATGGTCTGGAGTCTCTCCCTGACTCTCTCAAGTCTCACTTGAAAGCCCAGAGGATGAAGAGTTTTGAGTTTCATGTGGTTTGGAGTAGGGAGAAAATAAAGCAAGATGCCCAGGAACGTGTGCAGAGAAAAAAGCTACAGATTCACTATGGTCTAAAGTAGGCTTAATGATGCATTTTACTGCAAAAACATTCATCGCTCTTAGATCTTAGTGAATAATAAGCAGAATTTACAATCACTCTTGCTTTACACAACAACCAGCGCTTTGCAGAACTGCAGACATACCTACATTACGCAACGCTTTATTGTATCTGAGATACTTCAAAAAGTTCCAGATGGATTGGTACCTCTGCATGGCACAGTCCAGTGCTGTGTGGAAACACAAACTTGACCCCCAAACCAGCAGAGCCTGGGCGCAGTACTGCTTGGATTTGTCTACATTGCCTTTTTTTTTTTTCCAGGGCTGGTTCGTTCAGAGACTTCTCAAGCATTTTTGCTTGATGCTTACTTAACTGTAGACATTTTTCCAAGTACACAGAAGAGAGTATTGGTTATTTTTTATTGCACAGATCTGGCATCATGGAAAACTTTGTACTTTCACCCTGCTAATCCAGGATGCATGGAAATGATAAGCATCACACAGTCCCACAGATCATGAGATTTGCTTAACAATCATGAGATTTTAACAACTAAAAAAAATAAATACATTAAAATGGGGTCTCATTTGCTTTTGAGATCTAATGGATTGTGTTTTCAAACTTTTCAATTTGACCACAAAGTCGACAAATGGACTTAGCCAGTTTTCTCAAAATAATATGACTAGAAGTTGAGGCTCTGAAAATACCAGATGTTGTGTGACTTATGGTGATGCTGTGAGAGTTTGCAATGCTTGGCCAGGAGGTTTCAATATGAAGACCTGTCAACATTGTCTGGCCTGGCCCACATTACTAGCAATATTTCCTGAAAATTTTCACGCTAAACCCGCTTTGCTCATGAGAGACACTGACGCTTCCTGTGCTCCTGAAGTGAGTGTGCTGCCTAGTTTGCTTAATTAAAGCACACCATTAAGGATGTGAGCATGGCAATGACCCAGCAATGGCTATTTCACTCAACCCTGCGAGGACCACCCCAGTTTCAAGGGGCTAACTTGGGTGCCTGGAAAAATGTTTAACATCTTTCGATAAGTTAGGTTCCCTGTCAAAAGAATGAGTTTTTAATAACGTAAATAGTAGAGTCTGAAGAACGTGCCCTGTGAGATCAGCATACTCCAGATACAGCGTCTCAGCGGAGATTTTCCGTGTCATTATAACATGGCTATACAACACTGTATCAATTGATCTCATCTCATTCATGAAAACTACTGCCCTAACAAACCTAGCCTAGTGATTATCATAAAATTAATGGATCTTTAATTATTATGTAATTATTCCTTTGATTTACTTCTTAGTTGGAGTCGTGCTAACTGCCAGTGAGTTAATTCTTCTCTTAAGTCTGCTAATCATTCCTATAGTCCTGAATTCACACTAAACAGGAGCACAGAATAACTAAGATCAGACATTAGATCACTTAAAACCCGTGAAGCAACTGTCCTCAACGTCTCCCAGACTGGCACATCTTCACACTGCTGTAGATAATGTGAAGACCCATTAAGCAGTTAAGAGTTTTCCAGTGACTAAGTAGCTGAGGGGAGGGGTTAAGCATACTTAAAATAGAAGATAAACTTCCAATGTGATAATCTCTTGTGGTCCCTGTTTCTAGCAATACATAAAGGAAAGTGAATACATGTGCTGAAGAATGTTAAGTACTACATTTAATTAAGAAAATTAGTCTCTTATGAGAGAGTCAAAAGAACTAAGAATGATCCAAAGACTCTCCGCCCAACGCTTTGCTAAAGTATCCACACTGTCAGTAATGATCATGCATGCGCCAGTAATTATTACATGTGGTCTTGAGGCCACTTGCTTGAGGTTTAGGATATCAGATCACATCTCCAACGTCAGTCACGCTGGCAAGAACGAGTTCTTAACCTCATGTTTTGTCATCGTAGTTGATGAGTTACTAGACAACCCAGGTTAAGTGTTAGACCAAACAGCAGATCTCAAGCTGGTCATGAATAAGCCCTACAGAGGGAGAATGTGACTCCATATTTCTCGAGATTTGTAACATCTGGCAGGCTAGTGAGTACAGGGTGAGAACAGCTGTTTGAGAACAGAGGAGAAACACACAAATACAGAACAGCATGTATGTGGACTGTGTGCAGTCTAGCCCTACCTCAGATAAAATGAGATTTATAACTTCATTTCAAATAATAACCTCTGCTCTCTGGC